CCAAGTATGATAACTTTGAACCATAAGGGTGGTGCCTGATTGGTTTGAGCTTGGCTCCAAAGATCAAAAGTACCAGGTGGTCCCAGGTTCAAATCCAAGGAGGAATAAAAATCCTCTTGTGGCCACGGAGGTTCAAATGCGGTGACTCCGGGCTATCTGTAAAGCAAGGTGGTCGCCCTGGGATTAGTCAGCTAGCATAGCGGGTTGGATATCCAGGTTAATAAAAAAAAGTATGATAACTTTATCGTTAAGGGAACAACTACCAAATGTTTCGAGCATTATAATCAGTGTTCATTGACTTGGTCAAGTTCAAAACTGCATGGACTCAGTAAACCATCTAAGGGGCTGTTTAGCAAATTTTCTATTAAGTCCTGTATGGATAAATTTGTCTGTCTGGATAAATTTGGCTGTCTGAATAAATTTATGTTGTTGTTTACTTTTCTATCTGAATCAACAGTCTGAATAACAGAAATGACCAATTTACCCCTGAAGATTAACTATGGACTGTTTAGTAAACTGTTGTTCATCTATTGGAATACGAGATCAATAACAATAAACAACCCCTAATACACTTTGTTCTTCAACAAACAAACAAACACCCCCAAAGTAGCCATTTGTGCGAATACTCTAAACACCCATCTTCACCCATCAACATACTTCAAAATCCAAACACCCTCCTTCACCCCATCCACTCCTCCTGTAAATGTAAGGCCGCTTACTCCCTGTTCCACCACCAATTAGGACTTGCAATGCGACCGCTTCAGCAATCGATGCATCCAACCATTTCTTGTTCTGTTTCTTCTTCTCTAGCTCTGAAATAATGGCTCCCGACAGCAATCGATGCATCAAACAAACCCAAAAAAATCAGCAGCAAAATCAGCAGCAATGGAGCAGCAAATCAGCAGCAATCGAGCACCAATCGAGCAACTAGGGTTCTAAAATGGGTTTTGTTGGAGGAGAAGAGAGACGTGGGTTTTGTTGTAGGGGAGCGATTCTTGGAGGAGAAAGAGGCGTGGGTTTTGTTGAAGGGTAGGCATGTCTTTATTTTGGCTTAATATGGACAACCCTTGGTAGCCATTTGTGCGAATAAGCCCATGTCTGTGCGAATAAGCCTAAAGTAAACACCCTAAAATGGCTGTGCGAATAAGCCCATTTATCCGGTAAGCTCATTAAGCCACAAGTAAAACAGGCCCTAAGTACCTTATGTTTTATTATGATGTATATTTTTAAAACAGTTTGCCGACAGATGAATCTACAGCCAAAAGAGAAAGCATATGAACCTTTATACTTTCTATCCCGTTATGAGATTTAGGGGCCGTTTACCAACGCTTACCCCGATAAATGTTTACCGGATAAAAATAAATAAAAATTATAACTTATTTGTATATGGATAAAAATGAGCTTAGAAAATAAATGGCCAAAAAGAGGGGATATGGCTATAAAAAGTAGCTACTACTTGAGTGGGTGTGTGTTTTTTTCTTGCATTATTATTTTAGATGCCAAATAAATCCTCATGGTCATTTCAAATTCCACTAAAATCAACGTTTTTCAAATTGATTGATTGATTGATATACACTTGTTATATTTATCCGACAATTTTATTAATCATATAATTCTGTTAATATTTAGGTAAAAGTTGATTACAGATAATTTCATATGGAACCTAACTCTAAGGACAGAGGGGAGCATTTTTTGACTCACTCAACGGCTGAGGCTAACGTCATGTGGGGATCGAACCTAGGACATGTCTTGTATTTGAACAAAATCACTCAATCTCTTTGTTAACGGCGTTACAGAGACATGACAGTTATTACTGATTCTAATTGTTGTGTTCAACTTCACCTTGAATAATCTGAATACTTTTAATTAAATTTTTTGCAAGTATTTTGATTCTGTAAACTGAGGTATGATAATTACTTAATATCATTTTCTATAAGAACTATTATTTTTGAAGATTTTTTCAACTATAATGGTTTTTTCTGAAACAAATCCGATTACAGCAATTCAAAAGACTGATCGATTATTGATCACTAATAAAAAAAACATCTCTAACAGATTTTTCGAAATGCAGAATCAAAAGTCAAAATCTTCAGAGAAAAATCATATTCATCTCCAACAACTTTTCTATTTATGGAGATTACAATATCATTATATTTTAGAAAATATTATTTCTCTTTTCAGTATATTTAATTTCAAGGATTCTTGGTAGGAAGAATAAAAAGACTTTCTTTTTCTTATGCAATCATTTCACGTTTCTACTTTCTCCATTCTATAGAAGGCTTTTTAAAGAATTTAGTGAAACAAAAATCTGTAAAATCTTAATTTAAAAAAAACGTTGAAAATACTGTAAAGTAATTTAGGTCGTTTACAGAATAGGATTTAAATATTCCTTAAGATTTTAATCCAAAAGTCTTATCATGCTTCCAATTATTGTGTTAACACACATCGTGAGCGTTGATTGCTTTTGAAAATATTATTTTATAAGAAGTAAATTATGTTTTTAGTTTAAAATTGTGGATTTTATTTTTATGGTTTTAAAATTTTGATTTTGATTTTGATTTTTATGATATGTAATTTATTTTTATTTTTGTCTCTGAGGTCAAAACATTACTTTTAAGTATGAAGGATTAAAAAAATAATAAATTTTAAAGTATAAGGACGAAAAAGGTAATAAATTATAAACTATAGGGATAAAATCATAATTTTAAAATTATAAAGATAAAAATAAAAAATTTCAACAAACCATAGGGACTAAAAATATAATTTACTTTTTAATTTGTATCCAAAAAATATATCAAATAATAAATTATAAATACCTTATATATTACTATAGATAGATCATATCTAGATTAAATTCCACTTTTGATATATCTTTTCTAGAAACAAAAATACCCGATTTTTATGTATATAAGTTAAGGTTTAGGGAATACTGTAAAAATAATGAAAAATTGAGAAACATCTTGATAATTATTCATTTGAACAGTATATATATGCATACAAGTAATTTGTAAGCAATTTATCTTGTAAGAAATAACTTCAATTACTTATATGTATATGTGTGTACCGTCCAGATAAATAATTATTAAGGTGTTTATTAGTTTTTAATTTCTTGGAGGGTTTTCCTCTGAACCTCTATCTCTCTCTCTTTTATTTATCCATAATTTTCTTTTATCCTAGATTTATCTTTATCCCTTAAATTTTGTTGTTATTATTGAAGACTTTTTATGTCGTTGTATATGTTGTCGATGATACTGTAATAACGATTTGATTTTTCCATGATAATAATTTGATAATTTGAAGATTGTTTATAATGTTATTTTAATGTGATAATAATCTAATAATTATGTGACTTTTGTTGTGATAGAAATGTGATAATGTTGTGATAATGATGTGATAATGTTCTTCATCAAATCTGGTTATTTGGCTTCTTCTTTATTATATCTTTGGTTCGAATCAAACCTATTTGATGAAGAAATCAGATCTACAACACCACCATCAATAGCTCCGCCACTGCCGACCCCTTCCCATCACCTCCCTCGACCACCACCATCACGGTACGTTAATCTGGCCTCGTCCCTCTCTCTCTCCTTCGAAGCGGATCTGTGAATCCAAATTGGTCTCTTCACCATCGTCAATCTGGATTTTCCTCTCTTGTTTAATCAAATCGACAACGACGATGAACTTCCTTTGACGAAGTCTTATCAGAAGTCGTCACTGTTTTGGTCACTTTATTTGATTTCATTAGGATATCATAGTGGGTATAATGGGTATCATAGTGGGTATAATGGGTAACACAGTAGGTACATTGTGTATCACAGTTGTATCACAATGGTATCACATTTGATATCACAGTGGTATCACAATGGATATCACACCGCATCTTGTATGTATTTTGGGTATCACTCCGAGGGCCATTTATATGTATCTCTTTTTTAACAGTGTTAATGTTTTAGATATCACATCGTGTATCTTGTGTTTACTTGATGTTTGCAGGAATTAGGTTCACAAATGGTTGTAGAGAGGAGAGATACGATTTTTAAAATACCTATAATGTTCTTTAATTAAAATTTTAAGTCAAAATTACCAAAATTATTAATTTTTTAAATTAATCATTTAATTTGTGGTTGAGATTAGATCTCACGATTATCACAAACAACCGAATTCTCCTTTGAATGACCCCATATATATTTATATATATAGAGAGAGATAGGATCAAACGAGAATGCCAACTATTTAAAAGAATATGAAAATGCCAAATCGTGTGCAAAATCACATGTGAATTTACGGCCAAACGATCTAAAGGAGGTGTGCGGATGACTTTGGGCTACGACTTCAGGTGACCGGGTAAAGTCGTGTGAATCACATGTGATTTTGTACGTGATGTTAGTGGAAAATTACATGTGATTCGGCCATTTTCTTATTCTCTTAAATATGTATTATTCTCGTTTGAACCCAACTATATAAATGCAAATATACACATACACACACACACATATATATACACACACACTTGGGATCATGTGAGATCAGCCTATTTTCGTGAGGCCACATATATATATATATATATATATATATATATATATACACACACACACTTGGGATCATGTGTGATCAGCCTATTTTCGTGAGGCCACCTTTTTACACTTGAAACTTCACAGTAAAACACTATGAAGGTAATCTTCACTGGGTTTTGCTGTGAATGTTCCAATTCTTTTACCTTCATAATAATTTGCTGTGAAGTTTCAAATATAAAAATGTAGTCTCACGGGTCTCACAAAAACATGTTGGTCTTACGTGAAATACAACTTCTTTTCACAGGTTGTAAAAGTTATGTTTTCAGTATGTTGTCAATGTAGATTTTTTTTACATGAAGTCTTGAATAACCACAAGAGTAAAAACGATCCCTATAAATAAACTATTTATTCAATGATGTAACCGAATAATAATTATCTGATCATTTTTCTCGCAATCTAAAAGTCATGCATGTATTAAGGACTCGTTATTCAAACAGGGTTATGAATCTTTGATTCTTTCTCCCTTTTCCTTATAAAAAGAAGTGTACAAAACTCAGTATTCTATTCATTTAAGAAATGAGATTTGATGAAAATGGATCTGAAAAGTTAAACATCCAGTTCTCAACATTTTCTTCGTCAAATCCTTCTTCTCCACCTCCTTGATTATTTGTTCTTTCGATCTCATCATTTCTTGCAAATCTTCCTTTGATACGTGGTCGGTTATCTGCTAATGTTTTTCGACAAACGTACTGTAATAAAAGAAAAAAAAACATATATGAAGAATAAAATTGGATAATTATTACGACAAACGTTTTCGTAGAAAATAAAATTGTATTACATGAACATAGTCGTGTATTTAATATTATATTGATAAAAAAAACATTACCTTGATTTTCTTGTCAAAATTCCGTTGGGTTTTCTTGCTTCGATACCTCTCGATCCTCTCTTGTTTCTCTTTAGGCGAATAGCGACATGCCTTGTTCATGCTTTTGATAATAATGTCGTTCTCGTTTGAGAACGGACTTTCTGATCGACGACGGTGTTGCGTCATATTAGCACCCTATCGACACCAATTGAAGCCAACAGGATTAAGCAAGTTTCATTATCATGATTATACAACAATATAATCGTAAAATGTTTAAAGTATGACATGTGTTTTAGTAATCCTCATATATTTAGCGTCTTTTTTTATAAATGACTACTGTTATATCAATATAGAATAACATTTATGCATTTAAAAAAAAACAAATACCTTATATATTAGGGAAATTGACCAAAATAGTCAATCTCGCCAACTAAATTCACATTTTAGCCACTTTTGGAATTCAATTCTCATTTGCGTAAAACCTATTTTTCATATTAAAAAAACATTTTATTTTTACATAAATGGAGATCCTTACACAAATATGGACATTTTTTTTCTTTTTTTCAATCTGAAAATCAAATTTACGTAAATAAATAAGACATTTATGTAAACTCTAGTTGAAATGAGAATTCGATTAAAAAAATGGTTAAAAAATAAACTTAGGGGCCGTTTACTAAACACTTACTTGGTAAGTGCTTAACGTATAGATTTCCTCATCGGATGAACATGAGAAGGGCCAAAAATCTCACCGGGTAAGAGCGATGAGAAAGATGGAGAGTCTTACCCGGTAAGTAAGGATGAAAACTCTTACCGAGATAAGCGTTTACCCAGTAAATTGTTGCATTCGATATGTTTTGATGTACTAAAATATTACACATCAGAATAAATTATAGTGTTGACTTTTATTGATAAGCGCTTACCGGATAAGCATTTGGGTAAACAGCCCATTAATTAAAAACAATGTCTATTTTGATCAATATCTCTATTATATTAATACAATACAAGTCTTTCAAAGAATATTTGAATTGACTTTCATGTGTTAAATTTTGACAAGATCCCATGATAGAAACATAACATACATATGTCGGGTTATATTTGACACGATCCCCGACCCATCTCTTCCGATGGATCCATCAACATGTGAAATGCGTAGTTGACATGAAATTAATTAAAATGTAAAATATTTTAATTTTTCAAATACTTTTTAGATTGAATTTGCAGATTCGGTTTTTATGGTTTATGGGTCTTAATATTTTGGGTCCCTGTTTTGAAATGGTTATCTATGGTTTACATTCTTGTTCTGTAATTTATAGTACATTGGATTATTGTTCCTAACTCCGTCCAAAAAATCTAGTTAAGCACGTTAAATCAGAGGGCAATTTGGTCATTTGACATATTTTTATTGAAAATATAAAAAGTATATTGTATCAAATATTGTTATTATTTCTGAGTTAATGTTCATATTTTTTTAATAGATTTACATTAAAAAAAATATAGGTTGATGCTCATATTGATGTTTATCGAGTAGTTGCAGGTGACAACAATATATAATAATAATAATAATCATAACAATATATAAATACATTCATATGGTTTTAATAGAAATAGAAAAATATGACTAAACTACCCCTTTAAATCGCAAACTATAAAGATGTAGTTTATAGATATTTCGAAATAGGTATCCAAAGTGTTAAAACATATAAACTATAGGGACCAAATCGTAATTCACTCTACTTTTTTATGTTAAAGCCTTTTATTTAAAAATCATTCAATAAATAATAAATTAAAAAAAAAAGTAAATTATGAATTTGATCTCTAATATATGTCCGTAATAAATGAAAATACACGACTCTATAAAGAATAAATAAATAAATAAATTATAAAAATTTATAGATTCATATATCACTTATTTAAAATATTATTTAAATAATTTAAATACATCCCTCTATATATATATATATATATATATATATATTGTTAGATATATTATAAAACATTTGGTTAAAACTCTTAAAAACTCTTAAACCCGTTTATCCCTAAACGATTTCATCCCATATCTGAATTCGTGTAACTAACTGCAGATAAACACAATCAAATACAAGATAAACATCTCATTTTAAATATAAAAAATCTAAAATATAATTAGTATATTCATTAAATTCTAAAAGAATATTTAATTATTATCTTTATAAAATTTATAATATTAAACCAAAAATAAATTATTTT